AGGCCCCGTATAATTGTAAAAGACGTACCCGGTTCTATGGAAGATCGTGCCTTCCTAACAGCCTTATACCGTCAGAATATCAAGGACGAATTAAAATTAAGTGAGAACGATTTTATTAAGTCAACCAAAATTGTTAGGCATCGTAAACTAGAAAATGGGCGTCAATGGATAGGCTTAGAATTAGAGGCAGCAGTTCGGAAATATCTAGCCAACACAAAAGATAAACTTTATATAGACTGGGCCACATGTAGATTCATAGACGATATAGAAGTAGTTCGTTGCTTAAATTGTCAGCAATTCGGTCATGTACAAAAGTTTTGCACCATTAAAACCCCTACTTGTGCTAATTGCGCCGCCGCACACGAAACGCGAGCTTGTCCAGATAAAGACACACCAGATTTTAAGCCCACGTGCGGACAGTGTAAGCGGTTCAAAAAACCATCTGACCATCGATGCGGCTCATACGACTGTGCCACATACAAATTAAAACTGGAACAGCTAATATTAAATACCAATTACTGAATAGTTTAACTTAGTTTAAATAAAAAAAAAAAAAAGTTTAAAGAGTAACTTACTAAGTAATGAATAATATTTCGATAGGCCAGTTAAATCTTCATAACGATAAAATAGCTACATCAGAATTAGACCGTTTAATTTTAGAACAAAAGTTAGACATTGTCCTTTTACAAGAACAATATCAGAGCGCTCACTTGCGTCGTAATGTAGTACAGCTTGACTGCCGTTCGCAGGCTGGGATATATGTTGCAAGTTCTAATTTTACGGTAACATCTTTGAGTAATCTTATGACGTCACACTGCGCCGTTGCTGAGATCTCATCCTCTACCTGTAAGGTTTACGTAGTGAGCTGCTATTTTCAATATTCACATCCTATTGATCCTCACTTACATCACTTACGTTACGTCTTGCAGTTCCTCGTGGGACATAAAATTATCATTGGCGCTGATGTCAATGCGTCATCTTCATTATGGTATGGCAAGTTGCGTTCAACCGACACGGTTCGACGTTGTGCGGTTGAAGATTTCATTGCGGAAATGAATCTTATTATTCACAATACCCCCGATGCACCACCAACTTTTTGCAACCCAATGGGTGAGTCTTCTATTGACGTGACGCTTACGCGCGGCGACGTCTCGATATCCGGATGGCGTGTCCTTCCGGACGCATCCTGTAGTGATCACCGCTTGATCGTGTACGAATTCATACCAAGGGTTGCACAGGATCCACAAAGGGCTCCCTATAATTTTAGATATAAAACTAAAGGTGCGAACTGGGCTTTGTTTGGTTCACTCTTTGCAACTCATACCAAAGACTTCAGTCGCAGTAGTTTATCAGCTGAGGAAAGCGCAGAAATACTATCAGAAACTTTTACATACTGCGCTGATGTAACTATTGGTCGCGGATCTATCACTAACACTCGTAGATGTGATTGGTGGAATGATAGATTAGCCGAACTACGTAGAAGCTACCGGAAAGCTCGTAGAAAATTAAACCACCACTATCTCCAATGTCTGATTTACCATCTTCAGACGAATTTCTCGGTATCATTAGATCCTTGCCGCTAAACAAGGCTTCGGGCGATGATAAAATATCTAACAAAATGATAAAAGAAGCTTGTAAACTTTCGGGTGACACGATTTTCACTGTCTTTAAACGTTGCATTGCTGAAGGAATATTGCCTCGTATATGGCGGTGCGGTAATATTCGTATAATACCAAAAAGTGGCGACAATATCCTAAATCCTAAATCCTACCGACCAATCACATTGCACACATGCATCGTTAGGAAAGCTTTTAGAACGTCTTGTAGTGCCCCGGCTTCTGCCAGGTGGAGTCAAATTTCATGATAGACAATTTGGATTTACGTTGGGTAAATCGACAACTGACGCTGTTATATCGCTTAGAAAGTTTGTCACAGGGTCAAAATTTCAATACGTGCTGGCTATTTTCTTAGATATATCTGGCGCCTTCGACAACGCATGATGGCCCATGCTGTTGCTGAAATTAAAATCACGGGGGTGCTTTAAAAATATTTATTCCCTTATCTCTTCGTACTTTTCACAAGATACAACTAAACTAAGACTTGGTCATCATTCTGTGTCGAAGGCGCTTACAATGGGATGTCCTCAGGGATCGGTGCTAGGTCCATACTTGTGGAATATCGGCTTCGACGATTTTCTTGCGATACCAATACCATCCGGATGTACTCTGAACGCGTATGCTGATGACGGCTTATTACTGGTGGAATCTGATACTAGGGCGGGGCTTGAGAGATTAGCCAATAGATGTTTGAACTTGATATCTCAATGGGGTGAACGTAATCGCTTAACTTTTGCACCCAACAAAACCTTCCAGCTACTTTTAAAAGGTAACCTCAAATCACCGCCGAGCATTAGATTTGACAATGTTACTGTAAAAAATAAAACCGCAGTGTGTTATCTAGGATTAGTTTTAGAAAGAAACTTTTCATTTATCGAACATATTAAAATAGTTAATGAAAAGTCTAAAAAGAGTTTCTGTGCATTGACAAGGATATCAACTGCGACATGGGGTCTATCATTTAATACATTAAAGATCATATACGGAGCTACTTATTTAGGTTCTATGTGCTATGGTGCACCTGTATGGGCCGATAGGGCGACCGTAGGCGCTGTCCGTCGCAAACTGTTACAAGGCCAACGACTTGCACTGATATTCTTGTGTAAGGCATATAGGACGGTTAGCATTGAGGCTTTGCCGGTGTTGGCGGGTGTGCTTCCGGTCGATCTCGAGGTGCAGAGACGTGCAGCTATGTACTATTTAAGACAACAAAACATGGAATGCGATTTTTTGGGCGCCCGGGATCGCGGTAAAATTACAAGATTGCTTCAACAGCAGCCCGATGTCTATAATGGCCTCATAGACGAATGGCAACAATGCTGGGATGAATCATCCAAGGGGCGCCATCTTTACCAATTCTTTCCATCTGTTCGCGAACGGTTGTCGAGGATATGGCTTGAGGTGGATCACTGTGTCGCTCAATTTCTTACGGGTCATGGTAATTTTAAGAGCAAGCTTTATTCATTTAAATTAGTCGAGTTACCATTGTGTCAATGCTCAACACCTAACTCTCACTATGAACAGTCTGCTCATCATATCCTCTGGGAATGTAGTCTTTGGTATAATGAACGTAATATAATGCTGAATAGCTTGCAGGTGACATCTGGGGCGGTATACTATGGGGATCTTGTGTCAACTAGGGTGAATTTCCGTGCGTTTAGGCGATTCTGCCATACATATTATAGAAATCAAACATAGCTCACGTAGGACCCGTAATATTTGTGGCCGTGGTGCTTCCCTCTTTAAAAGGGTGTATGCCCATTTTACTTCATTTTATCTCCCGCTTTGCTAAGGAGGGAAGTGGATTTACTGTATTTCCAACTCCTCCAATTTTCTTCTGATTAATTTCGTTGCGGGTTCCAAGACAGTTTAATTTCTTCCTGGGACTTCCCGAGAGTCATAACTCGGTGTGTTCGTGGGTCACTGCTATGGATCCTGGTGTACAGGAGTTACAGTGGTGGGCGTGTGGGTGGGATTAGTCCCATTTAAAATATATACATATTATAGATAAATAATACCCAGACACAGAACAAATTACCGTGCTCATCACACAGTATTTGTCGTGGGTGGGAATCGAACCCACGACCTCCGGCTTAGCATTTAGGGTCACTAACCACTAGACCAACAGGCAATTCATTCGATGTTTTTCACCGAGTGTGAGAGGTAACCGGAGCACCAAATCCACCCCTCCCTTTAATTCTGGAGATGGGGAAGGTCAGGAACGCCAAATATTGAGTTGTAGATGTCCATAGGTGGCGGTAGTCACTTACCATGACATGTCTGCTTGCTTTTGACATAAAAGTCTGCAAAATGTCATAGAAAAATTAGTAGGACCGATATCTAAAGACAGAACAGAGGAGAAAATTCATGCATTCCTGTGAATCCTTTATGATTCTGAAAACTGCTTCAATGAATCCGACCACTACACCCATCAGAATGTTAGGGTTTCGTTTTACACATGTGAAAAATTTTCAAGTATGACTTCCATGGAAATTCGGTTGTGATTGTGCTTGTGAAATGTTTTCAAAGTACCCTACTGCACAGGATTTTTCCCAATAGACCAGTAGTTTTTTAAAAGGCAAAAAGTATTTTATCATGGTCGTGAATATCTTTCTGCCTAGTAACAGTTTCAGCTGAAAATGTCTAATTGAAAACTTAATCAAAGAAACTATCCTGAGCAGAGAGTCAATCAGTCATAAAAATATTTCTGCTTTACGAGAATCAAAAAGAAAGAAGAATAACGGGTACTTGAAGGGAATATTTGATGCGATAGTTAGCATTTATAATTGAAACCACATTAGGGTAACCATTTAACCAAAATATTAAAAACTTTTAAATTATTTAAAAATGACGGGATGAACTGTTGAATAATGTTGGTTTAAATTAGCGATAAAATAAAATCATTATGTATAAGGATAATTCTTCTCATTAATGTCACGATATGTCATTTTATATTCTCATGTAAGCGGCTTGTTATGTTTTTGAGAATAAATTCTTTAAACCTAAACCTAACATAAGAAAAGGATTAATTATCAAACATCATTATCGTCAGCCTTTAATAAGGCGTGTTTTGGCCTAATATACCACGCTGGCCAGACGGGTTTGTATAGGGTTTGTTTCAAGTTTTCCTTGTTTTGCAGGGCTGATGAATAGAAGGGGCGACAACAACTGCGTTACGCTTGAAGATTGCGGGATAACCAGACTGATTGCACCAAAACTGAAGGGCGACAGACAACCAGCGACCAAGATTGTGCTAAAAAATGAGACTTACGGAGAATCCACCGACATCATTGCTAAACGAGTAGGCAGACTGCATCATCGCCATTAAATCAACAGTAATCAAGCTACTCGGCAGAGCAGGGAAAATACACCTACTCATTTTTGATGGCAAACACAAATCGAGAGATCTCCTGGAAAACTTCAGAACCTCGTAATAAACATTCTTCTGCGCACCCTCCATCAAGGTCGAACCATTTAGAGAAAATAGGAAACACATTATACAGTACACACAAGAACGCCAAATGCTCTGTATTAAAAAATGTGATTTCTAGGCAAATGGAACAAGCAGAATCGAAGAAAACCAAGAAAGAGGAGAGAATTAAACGCTCAGTAGTAAGACTGGGTGCTAAATACGCAGATATCACAATACAAGGAATTTTCAAGTCTGCCACAAAACTCTCTCTCTCTCAGACTAGAGATCTTCTTCCAGATGCAGACACAAATACTCTGATGATGCTGATGGACACTATGAACAGGATGATACACTCGCATCTCAATAACTACGACAGTAAGAAAATACAGTAGCCATCCATCATCATCGGCGATATGAACTTTCTTATCCAAACCCTTACCAGCAGGAACTCCGGCCTCGATAACAATGTTAAAAAAGCAACTAAAGACGGAATCTGCTCACTGAAACATGCCAATGCACCATCTAGTCCTTTCAGCCAAGGTAACACCATCCCGGACCTGGCTTTAATAAAACACCAACAACTAGAAGCTCAGGCCAAACAGTTAGACAGCGTCGATTCAAATCATGTCCCTTGGTTGTTAATGGGAAAGATTGAATGTAATATAGAAGAACACCTATTTCGTAACATAAAGAAAATTTATGAGGACGAGAAACTAAGAGCATACCAACTGACAATGTGGGAAGGTCCCCCGCAACCTTAACAAAGAAATCACAGCAGATGCCGATTGCGAGAAGTGTGTCTAAACAATGGAAAAAGCAGTTGTTACAGCCTTCGACACTCACGCACCCCTGAACTGAATTACGATTACCGAAGGAAATAAATGATAAGATAGTTGAAACAAACTAAAACAAATAATATGGCAAGCGAGACATTGCAGCCCCGGACTTCAACGCGAAATACGCATCCTTTACAACCATGCTAAGAAAGAGGCTGAAAAAGCCATGAAAGAATACTCCGGAAAGAAATAGAAACGAACGACAAAATCAACGATACAGCTATAGTTAAAGGGCCTAAATTGCGAAAGATGATAAGGTTACTAAAAAGACGACACCTTTCCAACCGCTGGCCTTAACGTCAAGAAAAGAAGTGGAACTTGCACTCAGCAGATTGTAAAATAAAACTATAAAGTTAACTGTGCCGAACTTCTAACAATGATGGCGAAACAACAACATTTTTGTTCCATGATAACGCAAGACCTCACACTGCACGAGAAAACGCTGTAAATCTACAGGAGCTGCAGTTAGAAACCATACGTCATCCTCTGTAGTCGTCAAAAAATTCCTTTACAGGAGTCAGTACAAAATGCTTTCACACAGTTTTTCGAATCTAGATCCCCAGAGTTCTATCGTTAATCAGAAATGAAGTCCTCAGTCTTCAGTTTAGATGGCAGCAATGTATAGATAACAAAGGTAAATATTTTGATTAAAAAAATATGTTACATCTCAGAAAACGAGTTTCAATTTTTCAGTACAAACCGGCAATTTCATACTTTAACCCCTAATACATACATATAAAACAGAAAATACCCAAATCCAAACATTTGGTCTGACCCGGGAATCGAAGTCGAGACCTCAGCAATATTCATAATATTTAACTGCAAGAAAAAGTACAACTGTAATCCATATTAAGCTTATACAAAAAATAAAACATCTATGTTCCTGTAAAAAAATTCTCTATTCTGTGTGATCACAAAGTGCAAGAAAATATAACAGAATGTATTCAAGGTTTTAAAAACATCGTACTCAACAATGATTTACAACTTTTGTATTAAAAAGAACTTGTCAAAATTTAATTTTATTAAATTAAAAATTAAATTAAATGAATTATATTAATAAATTAAATAAATAATAAATAATAATTAAATTATTAAACTAAGAATTTGCTCATTCATTAACATAAAATTCTAAATAATGAAACACTATTTAATTAAATGCAAAAGAGCTTTAAATTTCAAGTAACCGTCACGGCTAGTTGGTTATGTAATTCCACTTTTGACTAGAGCAGTGGCGGAAACACTGAGCCAACACAATCTCTAAAATAAATAGCCGTCATAATTTAACAGGACAATGTCCTAAATATACCGTTAATCATGGTGAGTGTGTAAACGGGTGGGGTAAGCACGGACGCTTTTCATATTCATACTAAGCTGATACTAAACGTAACATGTTTTGCATGCGCTTTGAAAAATATGTAGATTTGTCTCCTGAAACGACACTTAATACCTGAGGTGGCTGTCTGGTGTCTGCGTAACAATGTTTTCTTTGTAGAATATCTTCCTCACTCTGAGATTTTTTTTGTTAAGTGCACAGCTTTAGTAAAGTTTGTTTGTACACCTATTGTTAGATAAAAAGTCATTTATTTGCAAGTTCGCCAACACATGAAAAAAAGTCTCGAAAAATCATGAGTTTTCTAAACTGAAAACATGGACGTGATAACTTCAATAAAACTTAAAATAAAAGCTATTTTCTGAATTCTGCCATTTCTAAATTAATTTTTAATAATTTTAAAAAGAAAATCTTTTACTATTAATATTTCATTATTTATACAACATTCATTATACAACTTGGGTTTGAAAAAGGAATTTTCTCCTAATAGTAAAATATATGAAAAAGTATTGAATACTATATTCAATACTTTTGCCACACAGAAATTTGAACATAGATAGAATACAGCAGGCAAAAACTGATGACGTGTGACGTCATCAGTTCGACTTTCACAGCGACCGCGCAACTCTCACTTTTTGAAGTGTTAGAACCACTTCTAGCAATAAATGCTTATTGCTTTAACTTTTCCGGAAAACATCATGGGAATCTGACAGTTCTAAACAAATTTTCTACAAGTTCTGTAAATATGGAGAGCAACACTGCCATAAATATAGCCATACTGGCCTAATCTGGCTACTGGTTAAACCTATTTGGTTACCTATAGTAACCAAAATCATGCCCATCTAGGCTTCACTGGGTTTTCATTATCTAATGAAAACATAGTCGAGTACCCCTTATAATAACTTCACTCATCTCACACGGACGTCTATTCTCAACTAAGCAGAAACTGTCCTCTCCATATGAAACCCAGACTGCATATAAAAATACTTGTATATTTCAAAATATGAGGACATACCCTAACACACCCTACACCCTAACACACAACAAATGATCGTGCTCATCGCACAGTTATTTGTTCTGGGTAGGAATGGAACCCACGACTTTTAACCACTAGACCAACAGGTCCAACAGGCCTGTAAAATAAACCGATGCGTGCGTGGAACTTCACTGTCTCCTTTTGCGAGCAAGATATGCTTGCGAAGGAGATGGCGGAACAGGACCGGGAGAGGCTTAGAACTCGACCGGCATACCAGGCTCGGGAACGGGCCAGGCACCGCAGACGACTCAGGTGCCGGAGGTCGCAGGACGTCCTCTGTCCTCCATAAGCGCAGGCCTGGGGGTGGCCGGTGAGGCCATCTGCTACACTAGCAAAAGCAGGCTGAGGTGGCAGCGCGACGAGCTACGTGGCGTTCGCGTCTTTTAGCAGGAAGGGGAACCCGGGGTCCTCACATACGAGGGAGCACAGGCCATTGGGCCATCTACACGCTGTAGATGGCCCAAGGTACGTCGGGGTACCAGGGATTTCCTTTCTAGAGTACACCTGGTTCTCCGACAACTGGTACCCATGTGACTAAGAATGTGTTATTCCATATCGTCTTCAAATGATCTGTGACTATTTATAATATTGTTACAGTTATTTTAATTTTTTGTTAAAATCTAATTCATATGCATCAACCATTCATTAAAATTGCCAATAATAACCGTTTACAGAACTCCTCAATTACATAACTGCTGTCATACCGTACCACAAATTGGCTTGTCGACTCAAAACTCGTTAGTAATAAACCTCTTAGTATATTTCCCGAGGAAAGGGAATCCATTTAGGGTTGATACATCCCTTTAATATCATTTTGTAATAATCTCATTAGGATGGAAACGTAATCGGACGTGCGAAGGGACAGGATCTATCCTTATACTGACAATCCCTCATGTTCACGGCCGGGTTATAAACTTATTATGGACTATGGACTGAGGAATGGGTTCATAAATACATACATTAGAGGTGTTTTTATTTGGGGATCAGCTGTTGTCTGTGGTTGGCCTTGAATAATTGACCGTTTAAGGTTGTAACAATTTAACAACGGACTGTATTTGATAAGAATGCAGAGCTGTTTCTTTTGTCTTATAAAGTTTTATGTTCAAGATCGTTATTAAAAAAAGTCGAATCAAACGAATTTAAGGTTATTGTTAGAACAAACACATAATAAGTTCTTTTTCTTAAATAAAAAAAAAACGTTTGTTGTATTCTAGAAATAAAATAGTAATTACTTATATCGGTAAGTAAGTAGTAATAGTAATTACTTTCAATTTTTCTCGTCTCATCAACTTTTTAGGAACGTACGTACGCAGTTCATCTGTGTCATATTATTATATATCATACTAGCTGACCCGGCAGACTTCGTACTGCCTCAATTGATAAATAAAAGACCTAAACTTTTGTATAAAATAAACAAACAAAAGGAATTCTTTTTTTTATGAAAACAATTCAAAAATGCTCGGAATAAAAAAAAAAAAATATTCACCTTTTAAACCTTCTCTGGACTTCCACAAATAATTCAAGACCAAAATTAGCCAAATCGGTCCAGCCGTTATCGAGTTTTAGCGAGACTAACGAACAGCAATTCATTTTTATATATATAGAGATTTTTTGTATATTGGATTAAAATAAAGTTTACTAACTAATTTAAATTTAGTAACATAAAGATGGAACAATTTTTAGCAGAAGCATGTGATCTGCACTACCAATCTGTGGAACGGGTTATCGTCTGCGGTATTTCCGGACCAATACGACCTTAAAACCTTCAAGAAAAGAGCGTACTTCCTAAAAGGCAGGCAACGCGTTTGTGACTCCTAAGATGCAGGCGTTCATGGTCACGTTCCATCAGATGACCCATCTGCTCGTCTGCCCCCTCTAACATAAAAAAAATAAAAAAAATAAAATACTTTAAAAATATCTCGCAAAATTCCTTTTTACGCAGAATATGATTATGCATTATTTAAAGTATAAACTAAAATTAATCCAAATATTGTGTTGATATACTATCTAAAACTATTTCACGGCTATTTATGTACAGATAGATGTATACTCGTAGAAAGGCAAAGGCATTAATAACAGAGTAACACATCGTTAAATAAGCGTTCTTATTATTGTTAAAAAGGTTTTCAGCGACAGACGTCTATTCCTAACGAGAAGTTTTAAAGCAATTTTCTTTGTCATTATCAAGTCAAGTACAGGCTTCAGTTTGTCAGACTTTTCGGTGAAACTCTTTGACCCGAAAATTCCGGGCCTCAAATTCTTTTTACGCCCCCGGCGAAAGATAATACAGAGTGCCTCTGAAATCAACCCTAAAAAGGCTCCTAAATGCTCCTGTACTTATTTATTCGTTCATACAAGTATTTCATGTATGTTTCGTCGAATGCTTTTAATGGCATATATATGTTTATACGAATTAAAAAGGGGATTGTTAAAGAGATTGTATTATTGCCTGTAGAATTTCAATTCTTTCTTTTGATCCTGAAAAACGAATTCAAGCCATTATTGGAGATATTTTCCTTGTAATTTTCTGATCTCAATATTTTGTTTTCTCACATATTT